TGAGTCTTAGGACTTGTTACAAATCTGCCATGTTTTTATAGGTATGTCCTTTGTGTTATTGAATGAATTGAATAATAAGCACCAAAATATTCCTATGTATCATCCCATTTCATGTAACAATTTATATACACCGGTAGTTAATAATAATTGGTTTTTTACGTGTTGATTGCTTGTCTGTGTGTTCTTCTTTGGTTCAGAAACATTTGTTTTGCAGGACTTATTTATTTCATTTTGTTTGAAAAAAAGAACAATTTCTCTTATATAACATTATTAGATACATTTCACAGAGTATGGCCCACAACAACTAGGTAAAATTTTTATTCGAAAACAATTCGTTTTGTCAAGCTAAATTTCCTTCTGATGTTTCCATTACTTTATCAATGCCCGAATAAGTTATACCGAAGATCATATTTCGAATTATTTACAGCATAATAAAATCTATCTATCAATACTTATATTATGAAGAGAAGATAATAATTACATTTATCTCGTATAAATTTTGCCCGTGCTACGGGTGGGCGGATCACCAGTAGTTCTGACTATGTTTTTGGCATGCCAAGTATTATTATTGTTCTACAATCTAAATGCTTTGCATTATGAACAGAGACCTTGGCGTTTTTGCTTGCTGTTAGACAATTAATTCAAAGTCTATACCTATATAAAATGAGTTTTTTTAAGTGTGGTCGCAGATGAGTTTTACAGCGTCACCGGGTTTGGGGACGGCGAGAACCTAAGGGACCTCAAGCGGAGAATTGCCGAGTGCATCTAGAGGTATTCCAGGCGGATGGCATCTCCCCACGGGGGGAGTCTCCTCTCCGTCTGCAGCCTCTAGACCACTCGAATTTGAGGGGGATTTGAAATAAAGATGCGGCAAAACTCCTTTACTTTTCTTATTTTTATATAGCGTGGTCGGCAAATCACTCTACCGCACCTGATGTTAAATGGTGATAAAGTCCAAACGCGAAGATAGCTGATACAGCAGTTGAAAACTGCAGTTACTGGTACTGGTAATAATAAATAACTTTTAACAATGTGCATCAGTATTAAGGCGAATGTTTTAGCTTTAGCTTAGGAAGAAAGCACATAGTACAGTTAAAAAATACACAGAGTATCTCAGTAATTTTCGTTATGGGATTCCGTAGTCCTGACAAGGTATCCTTATGGTTTTGTCATGTACGTCTGTCTGCCCATCTCCAGTTTTGCTTGCAGACTGTTAGCACTAGAGAACTGTAATTTTGTGGAGATGTGTATATCAATCATGCCGACAAAATGACAAACAAATGACAACAGATTGATTGCACTAATAAATCAACGTGCACAGCTCCCTATATCAGCTAGTCACATCTGGAATGCAGTGATGGGCTGGGTTTAACACCTGGGGGCAAGACTGAAGCAAATATAACCTCCCTGTTATGGAAGCCTGTCTGCACAAATAACTACCTGAGTAAAGAATGTTTGCCACTCAAAAGGCAATGGATATATTAGCGATATGACAATTTTAATTAAGCAGTAATTTTGAATTTAGGCCTTTACCTAACTATCTGAAAACAAATACTTGAATTTCAATCCCTCCTAATCTATTTTTAATTAATCTAAGCAAAATTCTATGCTGTTCACATTTTGTTTGAAAAAATATTGAAACTACCGAAACCTATAAATCTAGCGAAATACATTATAGTTAATAATAATGTGTTTTATTTATTTATTTATTCAATAAAAATGCTGACTTACAGAACTAGTTCCAACACGTCAGCAGGTCACATTAATTAAAATTATAAATAAAATGCAAAATATATATATATGCCAATAAAATAAAAAGAAAAATTAATAAATACAATAAAATTAATTGAAACTAATGCACCAGCAGTTCACATTAATTAAAATTATAAATTAAAAAATAATTATGCATAGCAATAAAATTAAATTAATAGACATGATAAAATTAATTGAATTAAAGCCAATGTCAATATTAACTTACTAGACATTTACAACCTTCTTTAATAATATGTTCCAAATGATCGGCATATACATCTATTTGTTCGCACTGAGCGAGCACGCGGTGTTGCCTTTCGTGAACCCACATCTTAGTTAAAGTAGATCTCCAATAGGACCCGGACTTTTAGCTCAAGTCCGGACTTTGTCCGGCTCTTTAATTTGTTATTATTATTTATAATTGTTCCGACTTTTGAAATTCCGAAATGGTGACCCTAATTTAAAGTGACTATTCTACTATACTAACTATTGAAACATAGAGATTACAGAATAGTTTTTAATTTTATTGCACATTGCTGTAAAGGATAATTTTATAATTACTCTAAAAGGCATTTGTTGTTCATAGATAATTAAATATCTACGAAAATAATGAGCTATGTAATAGTTAAATACTTAAAGAGAAAATCATTGTTTTAATTCACTTTTCAAAAAAATCACTTAAAAAGCTAAACGGTGGAGTATTACTTCCCTACAAGATTTCCGGGAACAATATTCACCTCAAATTACTACCTGTATTTATACATCAATGTTTTTATGCTCCAATATAAAAATAATTTGACAGAGGCACAGTTTTTGTCTCCGGTATTTAGGTTTCACAGCGCTCTCATTTTATTGGTGTAACAGAACTTAAAATACACAGACGGGTATAGAAGAACTTGTTCTTAACTATACAACTTTGTATATAAAATGGCAACTTAATGGCGCCGCGCTTCTTTAACAAACACAAACGGATTGCAAACGAAAACCTACTATTTTTAAGTTTATAAAAAGATAAAGCTTTTTCACATAAAAAACTTAGGTTGTTGTTTGTTTACGTTTGTGTAAACGTAATGTTTACTAAAAAACATAAAAAAATGGTGTGGTTTGGTGTTGTGAAACCATAATACAAGTCAGACTTTGAGATCATTACTAAAAAGACTTTCCTCGGTTGGGAATCGAACCCGGGCCCCCCGCGAAGTAGGTGCGTTTTCTACCATTAAACCACCGATGTTTCTTGATAAGGTCAGAATTTTTTAATAACAATAATAAATGTAATCCGACTTGCTAAAGATGAACAACAAATTTGTGGCGATGTAATAAGTTTCACTTTAATGTATACAATGTTTCAGTGTAGCTACTTACCTTTTATCACAATGAGTTGCCAAAACTTACTGTCTCTTCTACACCACAAGTAATGTCGTAGGATGATTTGATAAATCGAAGTTTCGCAAAAATCCTAGGGATTTTGGGAAAACGCGGATAATAAGAAAATAGATATGACTTTGCTCAATCTTTCTGTAAAGGAATTTTCTTCCCTGACACAAAACTGACTACTACTACTAACCTAGTGTGAACCCAAAAACCCAAAAATATGTTTAAATAGCCAACGATTCTTTGCGCAATTTTACTGAGGTAAGATTCAGAAAGGCATCGCCATTGTCCTATTATTTGCGTCTTTGCAAAATCCCTAGAATTTTTGCGAAAATTCGATTTATATGTATATCAGCAGAAACTCATTTTAACTTTTCATTGTAACTCCTTGCCTTCTAAACACAACTTTTCATAAACCAATTCATAAACTACGAAAGTGTATTACAAACAACAATGTTAACGAATGAAATAGTTAAAATCAATGCACAAAAAGGAAAGTTTGCCATCCTTTGTATGTTAAGTGCAAACTGGAATTTGATATCCATACAATTCAAGAACAATACGCCTCCACTCCCTGACTTAAAATAATGTTTGCGTTGATTGACGTTACTGTAAGATCAGATATAGGGAAACCTACCACCGCATTGTCAACTAAGTTTTAATAAATATTAAATAGATATAAATAATATTTCCAACACTCACTCACATCAATTAACCTAGCCCCAACGTAAGCACTGTGTTATGGGATACTAGGATAACAGATATTATACGTATACTTGTATATGAATACAAATACGTGTACCATCTTAAGTCTCATCATCGCTTTCCATCAGGCGAGATATTGGTCAAGCGCCTTGCCTACTAAGGGGCCGTTCAAGTATTACGTAAGCAAATTTATTACTATTATTTACCCCCTCCTCCCCCTCGTCAGCAAAAGTAAGCAAAGCTCTTACCCCTCCCCCCCATCCTTAGGTAAACATTGGTACCTATATGCATTTTTCCTTTAATGTATTCTGTTTTTTTTATTGATTCATGAGCTTTCATGACCTTCATGAGCAGCAGTACTTAATAAGGCTTAATCGATGATGCTGACGTAATCATCATCTCTACCCCCACCCCCCCATGTCATCAAAAATAAGCAAAGCAAATACCCCCTGCCCCCCTATAGTGCTTACGTAATACTTGAACAGCCCCTAAGCATTAAAAAATAACATCACACATCATCATCATCATCATTTCAGAAAAACAGGGGATCTGCTGTAAAATCGAGAGACCTGGCAACCCTGTGACTGACTTTTTAAGTGTTTGTCTTTAAAAAGATGGACGAGTACCCCTTCCCCAACACAAACTATAGTGCATGGGGTTGCCAGCACAAGTGCTTAAATACCAATATTAAAAAGTACCAATATTATTTTGCAACAGTACCGAAATATCGGTTGAAAACAAGTTATTTAAATGGTAATAATCCCGCTATGACTGGTTTCGATAATCAACCGTTTCTCAAATGTTTGTATTATTAGCTATCTAAATATAAAAAAAAATAAGCAACAAAGCTCTAGTACGACTCTCTTGCTGGAGTTGTATTAGTGAAACTTGCCATATAACAGTATTTATTTATTTATTTATTTATTCGAGAAACATGCTGACTTACAGAACTAGTTCCAACGTACCAGCAATTCACATTAATTAATTAATGTATAAATTACATACAAATTATACATTACAATAAAATCAAAATTTGATTAACTAATAAATAAGTTTAATTTAAAGTTGAAATCAACTCATCAGCAGATCACATTAATTTAAATAATAATAATAATAATTTAATAATATATAGTAAAACTCATTTTATTATATTTTTAATTTTAAACATTTAACTGCCAGGTTTAGGTATCTAAAGAAATTTTTCTAACTAGATAAAATCAACGCGGTCCAGTCCCCGTAGCATGTGCACCACAATTTACGTTATATCACATTTTTATCGCGTCTAACTGTCAAACTCCATAGTAATTTGACAACAGAGTGTGAAAACAACGACCTATATATCATATCGCGTTGCTCATGCTAGAGGGGCAGGTATCTTTTTGTATTTTCTTTTCTTTTATAAAACTGCTTGTTAAGCAACCAACTGCATCGCTCGAACTCCCAGTCGCTTGGCTAGGTCCTCGTACAACTGGATGATGTTGGGAGCATACATGATAGTGCCTCTGCCGTGGGTCTGCTCAATGTTCTGTCGCTCCTTGTCCCCCGGAGCCAACACCGGTAGAGAGGGGTCCACCTGTATTTGACAAAGATAGACTAGTTCACATCGGTTATTTCCACGTTTTGAAAACGGGCACAAACTATGTTACCGGACAATTGACCTAGACACTATAATAGTTGCCACACGTACTTTAAAATACTCATTTGAAAATAGGTGCCCCTACACATTCGTTGCCCCAGGGCCTCTACACCTCTCAATCCAGCCCTGATTGTAAGCTAAGTTATACAATGAGATGTGTTCAGAATGGTGTTAATTTTTTTTCTTGTCATAACAATATTAATCTTTAATTTTATACACTTATTATGAAAAGTAATTTAATATTATCATATACAGGCTGTTACAAAAATACAAATGAAGCTTGTAGGGCGTTGAAGTGCATCAAATAAGGAGTCTTCTCTAATTTTCTTAAAATTTTTGCATGAAGTTTAACTTTTAAGACACATCACTAGTTCGAGGATCGTTAAAAATTACTGTTTTTATAAAAAGTTAAAACTTCATGCAAATATTTTAAGAAAATTAGGGAAGACTCCGTATATGATGTACTTCACCGCCCTTCAAGCTTTATTTGTATTTTTGTAACACCCTGTATATAATAATATAAGAAGCTGAATCAATAACCTCGTAACATTAACTAGTTACAATGAACTAACTCCATGCTGTCAAATCAAAGACATTATTATAAACTTGATTCACGTCTAAATCAACTCTGCAACTCGTGAAAAATCAAGCTCCTCCGAGCTTTTGACAAGCACATAGGTATATCCACAGAACATAGTTCAATAGCCCTCTGCAGCAAAAGGACAGATAAGCAACATCCCGGAATAGCAAAATTCCAGATTAGCAGAAGGACAGATTTGCATAACTTTGATTTGCGTGACTTTTCACGGAGTGATTTGAAATTAGTGTTGTAATTTTAAATCACACCGCGGATTGTGAGGTGAGAAGTGAGTACTCCAGTCATGGATGTTTAATATGTATTTCTATATAAATGTACTTATATATGTACAGTATATGTATTTTATTATTTACCCTAGTATCCCATAACACAAGCCTTACAGTGCTTACTTTGGGGTTAGGCTAATTAGTGAGTGTTAAAAAAAATAACATACCGGCTCCATATTCCTCAAATGTTGTAAACAATCTGACATTCGGTCCTCGAAGCCAGGAGCGAAGAAACCCGGGTCTATCGCTATGAAGCATTGCCCCAGATTAGGTTGTCTGCTCTCGTTCAATGACCAAGGCCGTACTTGGTAGGAAGCTAGGGAACCTGTTATAAAGTTTCTACCCTTTAATGAATGAAAGAAATAACATAAAGTTATACGTTATTCAAATGAACTTATTGAAAGTTCTTTTTCATCACATCTATTCGAAATGGACGACTTGGTTCGCCTATAAGTGCACCCAGATGGTTTTTGAAGTTATACTTCTTTAGACGCGTTATGAAAAAATGATGAGAGCGAAATTTTAAGATGCGCGCGCATCACTGTAACACAAAATTTTAACAGCATGAAGTTGGTCGCTTTAGCGACCAACTTCATGCGTTACTTTTGTGTTTACCACACATTAAGAAAATCTACCAAAAAATTAGAAATAGAATCTCTATTTAGTGGGTGCTAACGACTGCATTGTGAAGGCCTATCAAAAGTATTTATTAATCTGGAACAACGGAACCAAAGCGCGATTCAGGAGACTACAGCGCCATCTCTTGACCATTGGTGTAGTAGAACCAAAAACCACATTTTTATTTTTTGTAATAAAGTAACAGTTATAGGTATTCATATTTATAATATTTATCCACATGTTTCTAGTTTGTATATTCGGAATACGTGTTTGAGTTTCATACAAGTGCAAATCAAATATGTTCTAATAAATTATATTCAGTAGCGATTTTAATTGAATATTTTGATTATTTATTTATTTTTTCAAATTAAAACTGAACTTTATTGACTGTGTCCTTTTCCAGACTTTTTATTAATTTATTGTAATTAATTATTTGCATGCAACTAAAAACTAATTTTAAACGATGCCAAAGAAGGATAACTTCTCACGCGCCTACATAAGTACACGCACCCATTTTTTTTTCTATAAGAAACTTCTAGCGGGCAGTAATGAGTTTTTAATCCTATTTATAAGTGCAGTAGTAGTAGTAGTTTAATTTCGTCCATTAGGGCAGGCGAAGGTACTAAGCCATACTAATATTTATAAGTGCGCCGCAATTACCTTCGCCGCACTTTTTGAATTTGGAACATCTTAGTGTTCAGCGCCAAAGAAATCGAACGCAAATATTGTTTGAATAAATACTAGCTGGTACGACAGCCCTTAGACGCGCCACGCTGCCCGGTTGAATAATAAATTTTCATAATTGCGAAAATGTCTCAAACGAAATGTAAGTTTTTAGTTGTTTTATTATTAGATACTATTTGTTTTCAGTTTAGATGTTACCCTATGTTTTAATAAATAAAAATATTACAATTATTACTCATTATTATTACCCAAACTCCCTTATCCATCCATAGGGAAGGCCAGTGCCTCAGCAGTGGGGACATTAATAGGCTGATGATAATGATGATGAATATTACAATAAAATATGAGGCGCCATTTATTTTCTCATAGTGGGTAATGAAAAGTAGAGTGTATAATATATTTTTGGCTAGAGTAAAGGCAAAGTACATCCACTTTGAATCCTTCGCTACGTTCAGGATTCAAAAAAAGCGCCCTCGCCGAAAATATATTACTTTGCTCCCTAATAATACAATCTGCTATTGAATCATCCAATGTTTTTCCTACCATCCATTCAGGACATCTTTTAGCTGATGAGAAGAATGGGCGCAAGAAACTTATTAGCATTTAACAGAAGAAGCAACATTAACATAAAGTCATGTCGCTACCAATACAATTATTTTAAATTCAATAATGTCGACCATCATTTTGATTGCTGTGTTAAACAGTATAAATACAAATAAATATACCGATATTATATTATACCAACATATTTTTCAAAGTTTAGTTACAATTAGTAGCTATGTTTGTCTTGGCTTTACTTTTTGCATTTTAAATTTTCTTCGCGCCATATTTCCTATAAGTAATTAGATTTGTTTTTTTTTTGGCATAGTTACAAGGTTTCTTTATCGTAACGTCACCGTCACACAAAAAACTCAACTAATTCAGAAATAATGATAATAACTCACCGACTCAATAATTATGTAAAAAATCGAACTACTTTATTTATATCATTTTTTGTTTCAAACATTGCTAATGTTTAATTCAACACAGATCATAAATAATTCATGAAGAATAAAGAAAGAAAAAATACATTTAATTTATAATTTTTTTTATAATTTTTATTATTTTTAAAGCATGTAACTGCTTGATGTTTAAATCTAAAGAAAATATAACTAGAAAAAATTCCACGCGGACCAGGCAGCAGACGGGACTCGAACCCGCACCCTTCGCAATCCGGGCGAATGCACTGACCAATTATGCTACCGCGGCCCTCACGGACCGCGTCGAAATTCTTTCTAGCTATTCTTAAGCTGCAAGGCAGCGCCATCTCTTCGCATTATAGGTAAACCCACAATGTCAAATGAATACTTTTACAAGTATGCCTTGCAGCTTAAGAATAGCTAGAAAGAATTTCGACGCGGTCCGTGAGGGCCGCGGTAGCATAATTGGTCAGTGCATTCGCCCGGATTGCGAAGGGTGCGGGTTCGAGTCCCGTCTGCTGCCTGGTCCGCGTGGAATTTTTTCTAGTTATATTTTCTTTACATTTAATTTATTATCGCGAAGCACACGTTTTGATTTATCTTTTTATAAAGTTTTATATTTCATCCTCTGACAACGGGTCGTGCAATAACCTTAATTTTCGTTTTGTATTAAAAAATAAAATAACAAACACTAAACTTAAAACACATTTGCTCAAAATGTGCATTTACGAAGGTTGTAGGTATATATTGTTCGAAAATCAAAAATTACGGGCAATAAATACGCTCCGCCGTATGGCCCGTAATTTTGACGTGACAACGTCTTAAATTAGGTTGCGGCTGGGAGTCACTTATGAAAAAGTGTAACGCTCGGTAACGTTACGATGAGTCTCTCGTGTTAAGTTTAAGTTTACATGTACAATGTTTTAGTAAACAAAATATATTTCTATAGTTAAAATTTGTGCAATTCTTATTTTCATTCAATTCCTTGTTCCTATTGTGCAATTTAATTATATTCATATCAATAAATATTCTACCGAGAAAAAGACGTTGTCACGTAAAATCTTCGCCCGTAAAACCGACTTTACAGGCAACCATTTTTTTAATTTGAACTATATGGAAGGAGCCAGTTTGTTCCTACGTCCGGTAGCTGAGAGCTGCTTAGTTTTCTAAGAAACTTTAACGATAGGATACGATCCTTAGCTGTCAAAATTCGTGCTTGGGCCTAAGATTTTCCACTCAAATTAAAATGCCCGGCTGGAGGAGTAACTACCACCTGACAGAAGACTGCAGCTAATAATAATACTTTGATGCTATGTTCCTATAGTGAGTAAGGTTTCCAGGCATCCACGGGGCAGAGGACAGAGTAAAGGCATGCAACGGGCCTACTGTCGTAAGCTTTTATGGGCAGTGGTGGTCGCTTACAATCTACCGAGGTATTATGCTTGTTAAAGTGAAACCATTTATTACATTGTCACAATTTTTTCGTGCAACTTTAGCATGTGGCTTGGCATTACATTTTAATGAGGATCATTTGTAGGTCAGGAAATCATCCAAAAATCAACAGAATAATGATCTAATAAGCTTTTTTATTCATATACTTTTTAAATCATCGAAATCGGTTCATTAGTTGCGATTTTATAACTTATTTTATTGTGGCCTATATTTATCGGCGGCCGAAACGTGTGACGTCACGAGCTCGATCGTGGTTCACTCCGGTCGAACTTTTGTAACTTCTCTACGCACTCTAACCCCCGAGCACTGAGAAAGCTCTGTGACGTCACAGCCGGCACGCGGCCAGCCGAAAATTCGTTTAGTAATTTGGTCATAACTTCGTCAATATTTGTCGTAGAACAAAAATTTAATCACTGTATTTTATGAAATCCTTAGCTCTATATATCTGAATTCTCAACTAAAATCGTTACGGATCCTCATTGTTATTATTATCAACAAGCATCGTGGTTCAGTGGTAAAAAACTTGCCTGCCGGGCGGGCTTTTTTTATTTCTTTTTATAAGGCAGAATTGAGGCTATGTAAAGCACTTTAAAAGTTTCACTTGCAGCGTGGTTTCATAATTCCTACTAATTTTACTTCATCATCTTCTATATCATCAGCCTTCCCTATACATCGGATAGGGAAATTGGGGGCAATGCAGACCAGTGTGGATTGGTGGGCGCTAATAATTGCAGATGCAGCCAAACCAACTTCTTAACGTGTCTTTCTAAGCAGAAGGAGCTCGAGATAGTAAAGTTTTGGTCACCCCTGACCATTACGAAAGTTGCTTAACTGCCACGATCCCATTACTGACCATTACGAAAGTTGCTTAACTGCCACGATCGCATACCGAACGCGCTATATACAACCACTGGGGCCATTGAGATCCTCAATTGTAAAGTAAATTGATCAATGGCGAGCTCACACCGAAAACTCCCTCCGATTCCGTCGACCTAGGCACGTCTTAGAGTACCCTGACGACGAAATCACCCGCGCCAACGCGCCTCCGACTCCTCCCACACAGGCTACAAACCCCAACACTACACAGCTAGCATACCTTCACACAAGCTTAGCATTAGGCAGACACCGGACCCGTAGGATTAGAGTGCGAAGACACGCTATACCAGGTACAGGTACGTACCGGGGCGTTTTTCCGCGCCCCCCATGACAACGGCTAACTAGAGCCGAAGACCGAGTCTTAGGATCGCCCTCTAGTTGAGCCGACCCCCTTAGATTCGAGTGGTCTAGAGGCTCAAGACGGAGAGGAGACTCCCCCCGTGGGGAGATGCCATCCGCCTGGAATACCTCTAGAGACACTCGCCAATTCAAGACTTGAGATTCTCTTAGGATCTCGCCGTCCCCAAACCCGGTGACGCTGTAAATGTCATCTGCGACCAACAGCAAATACACTCAAAAAAAATCAAAGCGAAAAAATAATAGGTATAAATAGCGGCAAACTTCTGAAGCAAAACCACAGACAAATACACTTGCGTAGTTAATGTTTTCGTATGTAAAATTGCTACTGCACATACTTCCTTGTCTATGATCGTTGCTCAAGACGTTTGCCGTGGTGTATAACATAGTTCCATAAACCTGACAATCCACTGCATAGAACATCTACGAGAAGTGACAGAGCGTAGCCCTTGTAGCCGCTTGTTTGTTCCGAGCCTCCCAGAGGTAGCAGACGTGACGCCTCCAAAGCCTGAAAAGATATGAACATAGAATGTTCGCGATCACTCGTTTGAACTGTTCGGCTTTGGAAATCGTTGCCTGTAGCTGTCAGACAGGCGCGGACGTTCGATATTTATGTTCAAACATCAGCTCAAGCAATTTTATCTCGAACAATGACGTTGTTGTTTCTTGTGCGTATGTGTATGGTTCTATATATAGTTTGTTTAGAATAGAAATAGTGTATGTTTTTTTATATTTACAAAATGTACTATAAATTTTGTTTTAGCAATTAGTTATTAGGTAAGTAAAATTAACTTCGAACCTCTCGAGTCGGCGATACCATGAAACCCGGCGTACAAACCATTCAGCCACGGAGGTCGCCTATTGTTTGAAAAGGTGAGATAACATGTTCAGAAAGAAAGCTATTGTTAAATATATACATATATATAAGGTCATAATAAATACTTTAGAAACGACTAAAACTTTTACCAAATTCCCGTCAGTGGTAGGTTGACCGTCAGGCCCCAACGCCCAGCCTTCTGGTATCGGCTCATTTTTGTGGACTTGTACTTCGATCTGGGAAATAAAATAAGGAATGCAGAAACACCACGAGGTAAAATAAACATAAAACTTTAATATATACCTAGTTACTTTTTGGGTAAACAAAACCAAAATCTTTAGAATGAGCTGATAAAGGTTTTCAGGTTAATCAAAATTCACGCTTTAAAGACGGGCCATATGCTTGTTTACTAGCCTTTTAACATAAAAAAATAAAATTAGTCATTTAATTACACGAGCTTCGTTACACCCAAGGGCGGATCCAGGGGGGAGGGGGTCATGGGGGTCATGACCCCCCCCCTGGGCTGGGTACAGATGGACCAAACCCAGGGGGATTTTATTTAAGTACTTTCAATATTTAATATACCACGACTATATGACCCCCCCCCCCCTGGCGCCAAAGCTGGATCCGCCCTTGGTTACACCTTAAATGGAAACAAACCAACTAGTATGTTGATGGATTTGTAAAATACATTACAAAACTCATGAAAAATTATTTGAAATATTCATAATAACGCAAAATATGAAAAATTATTTAAGAAATATAACAAAATTTTGGTCTTCTTGTTAAAAAAGTTTTCTTTTTTTTGGTAATGTTACTGAAATTTAAGTTTTTTGTTTACAATCATATTTTCTTAAGAATGTGGTATCTTGTAAATTTAATATATTGTGTCACTGGAAGAGAGTGGGTACTTAAGTCACAGAGTTTTCCTTATTTAAGTACCCATAGATCCTTAGTTTTAGAACATCCTGTATTATTTGTAAAACCATGTTACAAAAAAAATCCGGGAACAAATTAATTTATTATTATTATGATAAGTAGTTGGAATTTATTACCTTTCCGATTGCAACAGTTGTGGTGGCCATGTCAACTCCTAGACTATCCCCGCCGGCCGCGGGTGCAAACATTGATATGGGATTAGTGCCGCAAGCCGACTGAAAATTAAATAGTCTTTTCTCTCAGAAATCTCTAATAGACCTAAGTCGGTAATTACTTTATTCTATAGAAGTACCAAATATTATTTCTGTGACCATACGAATCACGAAGTTTATATAGGTACTTAAAACCCATATATATATATCCAGAATCTTGTAGTGTAATATATAAGGTCTCTTTGAAGTTTCAGTATAAATTTCAGATCGAACTGGAGTGCTTCACATACTGGACTTTTTTTAGCTTTTATAAAAAAATGTGTCTCTGTCTAAGCCTGGGCGCACATGTACGGTTTTCTGATCAGGAATCCCGATTCGGAAACCTGAATGCACGTCCTTACATACAAAATGAGCAACAAGGCACACACTGTTCTTTTTCAAAATGAAAAATTAAACTCACGTTCGGTTCGGACTCCAACCGAAAGAAAAACCGAAACCGGCGCCAGGCTCACGGAGTTTCCGGAACCGTATAATGTGACTTTCGGTCGTTTTCAAAAACCAGTTTCGAGGAAAGAATTATATAATATTTCATTTTTTAAACCTGTTTCGATGACAGAAAAATATTTTTTGTTTCGAAAACAGTTGCCAATTAACAAAAATGTTTCCGTTTTCGAAACCGGAAGCAAAATCTATTTTTGAAAGTTATGTCGTATTTCTGGGTCATATTGTCCAATTTCATTGGCATTATGACAAGGCCATAAGGACGGCCTTTTTTTTCAAAAGCAGATTTTTGCTTCCAATTTCGGAGTCAGAAACTTTTTCTTTTTTGGCAACCGGTTTCGAAAATCTATACGCGGGCCAAATATCATCCAAATCCGTTTTTGCGTGATTGAGTTACAAACATACAAACTTACACATCTAGTTATAATATTATGTAGTAAGATAGGATACAAGGTAGGTAAGTCAATAATATACATTACATGTTTAGCTCTAGTAGGCACTAAAACCGGTGAAGAGTTGGTGAAGGCCAGTCCTATGAGGCCTTGTTGCTCCGCCTTCAGAGCCCACCAGCCTGCCATCCCGAAGTGATTACTGTCTATAAGAAGACAACAAATAAAATTTCATGATTGAAACATCATATATACCCCGCCCTCGCGATCCTGAGAAGGCTTCAGTCGCTCAGTCTTAATCCGATAAGGATGCACATCAGAGTGCATCCGTACTCTAAGCGCATTATGCAGTAGTACGAGTATTAGGTATTATAATGCAGCACTGCATTATCACCATCTCAGAGGTTGATCACATCAGATGAAGCCTGTAAAGCCCTTATGGCCATAGGCATCCCCCAACGGGTGAGTTTTAGGCCCGTATTATAGAAAGATACTCAGTGATTGATCTAGTCTTGAGCATAGTTAGAAAGGGATGTCGCTATATATAGCACATAGCGACATCCCTTTCTAACTGTACTCAAGTAAAGATCAACACTTCGTTGTCATTCTGTAATACGGGACTTAGTCAGGAAGAGTCTGACATAACCCTAAAGCCGGCTGTAGGGTATCCATGAGGATTTCACACCGACCCCCGTCTGGGAGGAAACAAAAAAAAACATATACAAATATATCCTTATCATAATACAAAGGACAATGTTAAAATTGGCCTAAGAACCAACACCAATTTGGCATTTATGATAATTCTTAGTATATTTTTTGCGATAATTATCATTTAGATTGTGACGGACACTTCCAGTTAAGTAAGCTAAATTAAAAAGTTAAAAAATAATCTGAGACAATAAATACCATTTTATGTGTATAATCTATGGCAGCGCTGAAAAACAAAACACTTCTTTCTAATGCCGGCACTTCACTTGGCTATTCGTATTTGCTATTTGAAAACATGACATCAGTCTGTCCTTTTCATTGCTTATTAAGCATGACAAGGACAAACTTGTCAAGTGAAGGACCGGCATAAAACTCGTTACTCTGTGGTTGTGGTGCACGCAGTTTGCATTCGTAGTAATCTGTGGCATTCCTGCATTCCAAAGAGTAGTTTAATATACGGGAAAGTGCATTCTCGTTTCGGATTACCTGTTGTGTGTGTTTATTTGCGATTGTTTTTTCTTTAATTTAATTATTTCGGCTATCTAATATGCCATCGATGTTACCAAAGAGAAGAGCCCTTATTACCAAGTGCTAGTGAACCTGAGCCAAAACATCCTGAGAGGATCATACTGCCAAATTATTCAAGAACACCTGATACACATTCACGCTGCATATTTACACAATATACATGTGATATACAAATAAATAAAATATACAATACTAGCTGACCCAGCGTACTTCGTATTGCTTACAATAATTTGGAAGAAATGATAAACGACGAACGTCAAATGTTTGACAGGAATATACACATAGCCATCTGTCGGATCCAATGTAAAACATTCCAAAATCAACAACTACTAATAAATTAAAAATTAATTAAAAAAACATTGTCCAGCGGACAAAATTGTGAATCTAAACCATTCTCAGATCCCCTTGAACACACACAAAAAATTTCATCAAAATCGGTCCAGTCGTTTAAGAGAAGTTCAGTGACATACACACTCACAGAAGTATTATATATATAAAGATGATACAATTATGTGAATAATAGTCCATAAATAAGAAGCAAAACTACAGTTTTTATTTTATTCATGATTCCTACCTAACCAAGTTCGCACCGAATAAAATGAATTAGTTGTAATATTAATTCACTTCATACTAAGTTCATAGGTTGACCCACGGAGGTTAACCTATGTTTCATTGAATATTAAACATAACCTCAAAAATTTTTTAGTTTTCCTAATAATTTAAGTTCTCAGAAGTGTCCGTCAATAATCTTTGTTTTTACAATCATTTACTTACGATTTTGAACCTAGAAAATAATATTTCATGATTGTTGGTTCTTAGGCTAACTATGTATGGACGCTGAACAATGTCCATTGTGATCAATAGGGATAATGATGGGGTAAAATAAAAGAAAATCTCTTTAGTCCGTCAATCTATATATATAAAACTCAAAGTGACTGACTGACATAGTGATCTATCAACGCACAGCCCAAACCACTGGACGGATCGGGCTGAAATTTGGCATGCAGGTAGATGTTATGACGTATGCATCCGCTAAGAAAGGATTTTGATCAATTCTACCCTCAAGGGGATAAAATAGGGAATGAAAGTTTGTATGAAACTTTGTCAATTTTAAACCGATCGGGCTGAGACTTTGCATACAGGTATTAGAAGAATCATAGATGAATGTCATTGTGTATAATACAAGCCTGAGAACAAAAACTGTAGTCTACACTTCAGCTCTACACCGAAGCGAAGCGAGGGCAGGCCGCTATTTGGAATATAAAAAAAGTCATGGGCACATATATTTTTTCTTTTGTCAATTAATCAAAAATTACAAAGATGTAACTAGCGCTTCAAAGTTGCGGCTCGTGTCGTCGTAACGTCTAAGTAAAATTTGTACCAAGACGTGACGTCATTAGACACTTCAAATCAATATTTATCTCTGTTATGTTTTGATTATGTCAATAATAGTAATCATCCCTATTGATTCAAAACAGATTAAGATATTACTGAATGTGTTTTGCTGTTCTGACCACAAATTTTCACTTCATATTTAAAACTATTGTTATCTTTATCATTGATTGAGGAATTAATTATTTTTTCCTTCTCACACACACCTAATCACTGAATTATTTATAAAATTTTCCAAATTATAAGTAATACCCATTATTGTCTTTGTTATTGTTGAGGCTTGCATTTATTTTTATTCAACAATTATCCGTTATTTTTAAAGCAAGTAGCAAGTTTAATCCTTGTTGGGCTCCGGGGGATACGCTTTTAAGATTATTAGGAAAAAACTCTCTATATAATTATTATAGTTCCCAAACTACTACTCACGATTAACTGTAACTAATCCAATGCCAGCTTCCTTAGCTTTCTTGATAGCGAGGTCCATACAAAAGTTGCCAACTGTTGCACCCAACGCGTTACCGCCGTCCACAAGCACGGTCGCAGCCGACTCCTTGAGCACGACCGGCTTCCCATTTGGGTCAGTTGCACCTTTTTCTATGTCGTTTATATAGAACACTGTGAAAAGAGCACGTTTTAAGGTTATCTCTGAGGTTTTGTGTAAGATCTGCCCAGTAGATAAATTGGTTTCTTGTTAATTTTAGTCAACGCTGCCATCTTGCTGTCCTCCTCGCCGGCATCTCCTTTTAACGGATTAATATCCGTTCAAATTAGACAGAAAAATAAGAGTGAAGGTGCATTAATTTATGTTTAAAACATAATTATAAAATAACATTTAAAAACACACCATCGTTCCGGTACTTAGCAACAAAATTATTCGAGGTCAAAGATAAAAAAAATGGGATTTTCACGATTTTCATCAAAACTATCTACTATCGTAAAATAACTGCAGACATAAGTTGTAGAAGTTGTAGTTGTTTTTATCTATTTAAAAGGTATAAATTTTTTGCCCTATAAACCACCGTTACTAAGGTAAAATGATTTAAAAACTTGTAAGCGTCTTCATATGCTTAAGTGCATGTTTTGTTAAAAACACTCGAAATAAAAAAACAAGTCAAATAAGATTTTCTTCATCAACATCTTTTTCAGGTATATTACTAAGTTCTATTTCTGTAAAAAGGGATGCAGCGCTAAATGTGGTTGCAAAAAAAGTTGGACTGTTATGTGGAAACGCCAATAGTAGATGATTCGTGTGCTACCAACGAAGAGACATGAGATACATCGCTACTGACTCAGAATATACCCACTAGACATCCTCTAATAGGCCCTACAGAAACACGCGAGTAGTGCGGCGAGAAGGCTCACCGAGACTTGAAGCGAGAAACGGGAACTACGAGAAGGTAACGAATAGGTACACTCACGCGAGTTCTCACTTGCGTTCTCGATCGTTATTCGAAATGGACAACTTTGCCAGTACAGTGGCTTTGGTATTGTGAGCTTTAGCATACAATCTTGTAAATGTTAAAATCTAAAATAAAATCAAGAAAAAATGAAGGCTCAGGCGCTGGTGCATGGCACAAATTCAATTACTCGGTATTAATGCAAAATACACACATTCTATTGATAACGACTTCCCACGTCGCAATGAGACCGAATGAGAATATAATACGCGTGTCTCTTTTCTCGTTCGGAAACCTTATGAAGCGGACGAAAAAATGGTCACCGAGCGGAGAATAGACAAGCGTGGGAATGAGCGGCCGAGAAATTAATCACGTTACTGGGATTTTTTGCAATTCTGGGGGAAAAAATGACTCTTCGGGTAACTTTGGGGAAATAGTATCTTTGGGGAAAATAATATATTATGGGGAATTTTCAAGAGAAAATATATTGCGATGTACTTCGAACATCCTTTTTATTCAACTAATATCCTGACTATTAAGCAAGAATTCAGAACCATTTCAAATTTGTCTAACTAGTTAGTCTATGATTTTAAGTATGGCAAAAAACTTCTGATGAGTTTTTCGGAAGAAGTATTTTACTTATAAAAAATCTTGTGGAGAGCGGTTTATTTAATTTAACTAAACTTGCCACGACCCGTTTGAGTTTCCCATTTGCTAATGCTGCTGTAGAACTGACGTTTTCGCTGATTAATATTTCCAAAAATAAACTCCGAAACGGAAGGCTCAGCAGACCAGATCATATTATGTGAGTGTGAAAATCTTGAGTGTCTGAACATTCTTTAATATTCTCCTACTACTTTTAAGACACTTACCCAATCTGTTTAATCCGTGGCTAAAGTGTCCTGTAACATCAGCGTGTAGTAACAAAGCAGCGTGTGCTTTTGCTTCGCTGTCTGGTGCTCCGACGGCCATTAAACAGTCTTCCATGAACCTCCTGACCTCCTCCAATGGGACCTTCGCCATTTTGCCGACTGGCTAATAGAAAGTTATTGCGAGTTTATATGTGTAATGAGAAATCGATCATCGGTTAATAATCAATTACAGGGTGATTATTTTTGGGGAAATTATTAGAGACATTAGTTAATCGTTGTTCAAACCTTTTGACGACCTTCGTGACCGAGTGGTAGGAAAGTACGCCGGGTTTCAAGGAGTCGCCTACTCGAGAGGGGACCTCGATCCCGGGGGATTCGAATCCCGTCGGAGGTAGATGTTTGTGTGATAAATACGAACATTTATACTCTGTGTTTGTCATGGATGTTCAATACGTATTTTTATATTATTATACTTATCTACGTATCAGTACGTGTATTCTATCCGTTCCCTAATATCCCATAACACAGACCTACAGTGCTTACTTTGGGGCTAGGCTAATCGGTGTGAGTGCTATCTGTTACATCTTCACGCTTAAACCGCCGAAACGATTGAAATGAAATTTTGTAGGTATAGTGAAAAGATATAGCTGATTTTTGTTCTGGGAAAACACAAAGGATAGAAATCAAGAATCAATTAAGGGGGACAATAGCGTAGACAGTTCGTATGGAAAACTAATTTATAAAAGCAGTTGCAGTCGCTGGCACCCGCTCTCTTTAATTGACAACAAAATGACAAGGAGAGACACCAAATTGAAAAGTAAAAAATATTAAATTAAAGGATTTAGCTTCAACGTTACCTATACTGTACAAATATAATTATTTAAAGAAGTACCTACATTAAGTTATATTAATAAAGGTAGGTGGATCAAGATATACTTTTATAAATAGATACCTATTCAAAAATACTAAACACTTCCGTAATATAAGCCTCTCTACAAAAGAACACATTAAATTTACTATGTTCGAACTATTTTATAAGTTCACGGCAGAACTTGATACATTAAAATTTTAAACACCATGTACATAATTTCCTTACCACAGCCCTGTGGCTGCCAAGCTTGAATTGCACTTAGGTACTGCCAATATTTTCTCCTTCAAATACATATAAAATAGTATATATAAAATAAATTTAACGACAACCAAAGATTTAAATCTTTGACGACAACACGATAATTTGATTGATACCAAAACTGATTACCTACTTACCTGTATGAAACGGCAACGAAAATAACCTGACTGTATTAATTAATACGTGAACACTAAAATTGTTGCATTTTCATTTCACAGAACAACTCTTTAACAAAGATTATTATTAAAAAAAATATAGGTACATTATTACCCTACTGAAACCTTGTAGCGTTCTTGTATGAGACTAAAATTACTGATAACATGATGAGATGGGCGTAGTTATTCTTATTTTATCTCAATTGTTTGTGAACTAATATAATTATATTCATATATTTGCTTATTAGTCGTTAAATAAACTTTATTACGATATCTTTCTTGTCACTTTTATTTTAATTTGTTCACACTGTATTTAGATATGTCGTGGGATGATACGTTAAATCGAGTTTTTGCAAAATATCTAGGGATTTTGCAAAAACACGGATACTTAGACAATGTCTCATCTCAAGACATTTCTCAATATTACTGAAAATAAAATATATTACGGCGTTCTTTATGGCTCTCGACCTGCCCAGATCTATTGGATGGAACAGTAAAAAAACATACTTTTAATAATTGAGGAACCTCCTGCTCTTATTAATATGGCACATTCACAAACTTACAATGTATTGCAAAACTATCAAGACAGGCGTCATGGTAACGATGTAATCTGGACTAGGTATATCAGCAGTGCTATTCTGTAAGACCAAACTCATTTTTCACAGCGGGATTCGCCGGTGTGATAATGTGATTTGAAATTTATATGAAATTCGTGATATTAAGGTAAGTGATACAAATAAGGCCTACCTAATTTCAAACACTCATATCATGATACATTATAAGAAGAAGGTGATAAATACAAGCAAGACATTATTCCTTGGTTCAAAAATTTTAATTAATTAAGAAAACATATTACAATCTATCATCAAAAATCACTTAAAAAGAGCTAATTCTGGAACCTTAGCCTTAGGCCTTATAAAAACATAGCGACTTAACAAAGCCTATGTACTTAAATTATAGGAATATTGTTATTAGAGCATAAATTATATTAAAATATGTATTTCTGAGCCTTTAATCAAGTGTTTCCATGGGATCCTTGAACAATATTCTAATTTATTTTTGCTAAATATTTTTCTTAAATTGCTAGTCAGATTTGAAGTCGCTTATTAACAAGAGATAAAGAATAATATAACAAAAAAACATATCCATACAAACAAACATTAGCAAATAAACATATCATTAGATATATTCTCGGAAATATTATTTAATATTTGAAAATTAATATATTATGACGAATATATTTGATAAAAATAAGGCTTTTTATAAAAGTAGGCTTTATTAAAGTACATTATACTTCATAAAAGTTATAAGTAGTATTTAGTTCGCATATTCTAAAAAGCTAAATTTTAAGTCAAAGTCAACTCTTTGATTCGTTATATTGTGATCCGTATACATTACATGATACAAAACTTCACAGAATAGCGTATAAAAGTCGTTAAAGATTACGACAAATTAATAACGCGCTATGAAAAGCTCGTCCTTCACAAAGTACCGCCACTACAGTTTGCCGAGTTGTAGAAGACAAATCTGTGCGTGTGTAAAGTATTTTTGATGTAAATATATTTTAATAGACTTTTCTGCACTACAGGCCTTATTTCAGTATAGGCCTTATTTGTATCAGGTACCTTATTTCAACTCACACCGCGGGATTTGAGGTGAAAGGTGAGTTGGTTCTTATCGAACAGCACTACTGTACAGACTCCTCTTTTCCACTGGATAATCTGAGTAAGTTCCCAAGGCCCGAGGGTTGATGTAGAGGCCAGCCTGCTTGCAAAACATATTTTTTTTTGTTGACGTTGCCACTCTGTTTCATTATAAAATAAGTAATTGATTTACAAAATAAGTTGCAATCCACAAACTTAAGCATTTTATTTATTAAATTGTGTTTATCTAGGAAAGTTTGTCATTTATTATGTGTATGTATGAGATACGTGCGCAGGTAAAGACCTGCGCACGAAAGCCGACGAGCATGAAACTTGGAGGGTAACTCGGCGAAGACTGAAACACTACGAGCGACACGAGCGTCACACGCGACAATTTATTATATATATATTCATCTTATAAGTGATGCGTGCGCTGCTCCATTCCTCTATGCCTTATGCACCGCCTAATGTTAGGTTATTTAAGAGAAGAAGTTACATATATATTCATTCCGCGTTACACTTCAGATGTGTTGTCCATACACACTTTTTTTTCTGATGGGTCTAGTGCCACTGATAGCCTTATTTTTACCTCTCCTTGGGTTCCAGCATGCCTTAAAATGGCTTAGCTATACCCACTTGTTTGAAAATGTTCACTTATAAGCCAGTGAACATATTTTTTATGAATTTTGGTATGGTCATAAAGGGAACCCTGAACAAAGACATTTAATGCTTTGCCTAGGTTTTCTACAAAATGACGAATGCGCAGTCGGCAATATGTGTAAAAGAAATTAACGAGTCGTTTTTTCCTTGTTTTATTTATCTATCAAGTGGCTGGTGCAACGCTGGCTGCTGCCGCGGCACGCTCGCTTTGCTCGCTCGGCTCGCGCTAAGTTTAAGTCACAACACTAACTTAACCTAACCCACTGTGATTTAGTCAAACTTTCATTGGTTTGTAGTTCTTATGGTTAGAATTATAAAATCCGCCCTTATTTTATATCCAACTGGGTAAGGTTTGATTAAGACAAATACAGACCATAATCTGTTTATTTTACACATTAACGGTGGACCGGCAGGTACTCTATACAATCCCTAGGAATTTTATACATTGCCTGAAAATAAAATTTATAGTATTTCATACATTTCCTATAGATGCTCAAGCCATTTATAGCCTAAGTATTGTAGATATATCTAAATTATACAGATTGTCTGCGACATAGGTAACATAAAGACGTTGGCATCGGCTTATCAAGTTTATACTTTGTATGCACTTTTAAAATGTTTAAAAATACCTATACCAGATTGGCTGCATCGGGAACGTTTGAACCACAGAGCTTCAAGATAATATTCGTTGTTTTTTTGAATAAATACCACAGATAGTGTTATCGGTCAATATATTTATGTACAAACTTTTCAAAGATAAAAACCAATAGATAAGTAAGTTTGGTATGATAAGACCTTTTTTATCATTGTTTTGTTTGCTTATTTCAGTTTCTTCAAATTTGAAATGGTTAAAATAGGCTACTTGACACATTTTGGAAATATGTTTTAAATGGTTAATAATTGTACCGACCTATTACACCGAAATAAAATGTATTGTATTTTGAAGTTATACTTCTTTAGCCGCGTTATGAAAAAATTATGAGAGTGAAATTTTAAGATGCGCGCGCATCACTGTAACACAAAAGTAACATAATGAAGTTAGCCGCGGGCGCGTTATGAAAAAATGATGAGAGTGAAATTTTAAGCTGCGCGCGCAACACTGTAACAGAAAAGTAACACCATGAAGTCGGCCGCTAAACCGCACATTACTCGTAAGTCTCGAAAAAAAGCTTCCAACAAAATAGTAATAGGATCTCTTAGTCGCACATGTTGGGACGCTCGTCGCCTCTGATCACTGTTTTCATATTTATAATATTTATTATTTAAAGATAGGCGTAGGTAGAAAATACTTATATTGTGATTACTATTCAATATTTGTAGGAGAAATTAGACATGTGTAAGTAATGCGCGTGATATTACATTTATGATATTACGCGAAGTTGTAATGTCATATCACATATCACCCGACAGAATGAAACATTACACCATCACTTTAAAACATCACGCAGTACACTGAATAAAACAAATAACAATCTTATTCCTTTACTCAAGGGTTTTTTTTTTAGGTTTGTTCGATAATGACGGCGAAATGTAATGTTATCAAAAATTACGCAGCACTAGCGACACCATCCTTAAGTGTCAAACATCACGCAACACGCTTAAATAAATTATGACTTTATGTTTTTACAACTAAAGGTTTTTTTTAGTTTGTTCTATCGTAGTGTAATGTAAATATTACGCAGCGCTAGCGACGCACAGCGGCCTAGCCGGATAACTTTCAATATGTTCGAATAATATAAATTACTTTTTTAAGAAACACTCCTCAAATTATTCGCCTGTATATTACAAAACTATTATTTCAAGAATTTTTTTGTTAATATTGACGCATTAAATACCTCCTAACGAAATAAATCTATGTTGAATACAGTATTTGATTAACCATCACTCGAAACATTACCCGTGATTTTTATTACTAAGTCACATATTAATAAAAATCACGGGTAATGTTTCGAGTGATAGTGATATTACAGAGTGATATTACTCAGCGAGTAATGTAATGTAATATTACATCACGCCATAGAGCACTGTTTTGCGAATGTCTAGGAGAAATGGTATTACTGTATCCCACAAGGGTGGAAGTACATGTATACTGTTATCAAGACACTAAGACGTCCCACGTGGTGGAAGCGTATATGACTTGGCCATTTTCCCAAGAACACCTTATACAAGTGGTGTCAGTATAGTATAGCACGATTCACATGCGTACAGCGCCATCTAATAGCGGTCGGCGTGATGATATTTGATCCTATGATGTGCCATACAATCGGTGTCGGTATAGGATAGCGCGATTCACATGCGTACAGCGCCATCTAGTAACGGGCGGCGTGATGATATTTAATACTATGGTGTTACAAAAATAATGGTGGATTATTAACCACTTAGTGGTTAATAATCCACCATTATTAGACATCTGTTCGAAAGGTACTTTGAACGATCCACGGAGCTCCATAAGATGATCGCGTTGTCAAAAACAATGTTGGCACGCTCGTCGCCTCTGATCACTGTTTTCATATTTATAATATTTATCCACATGTTTCTAGTTTCTATATAGACACAACGTGTTTTAGTTACTTACAAGTGCTAATTACATATGGACTAATAACTTAAATTCAGTAGTGATTTTAATTGAATATTTTGAATATTTATTTAATTTTTCAAATTAAAACTGAACATAATTGACTGTGTTAACTATCCTTTTCCAGTCCTTTTATTATTTTATTGTAATTATTAATTATTTGCATGCAATTAAAAAATATTTTTAATGATGCTAAAGAAGTATAACTTCTCACGCGCGTACATAAGTTACACGCATCCATTTTTTTTTAACTATAATTT